GCTGCAAAGCTACACAGAGAAACCCTATCTCCAAAAACCAAAACCAAAACAAACAAACAAACAAACCAACCCCAGCCTTCTCAGGATCAACTCTGTCTAGTATCTACACTTATCGAACCACCTCATCAGTCTAAGTGATACTAAAGGGCTCTGGCAGGCCCAAACCCCAGCCTTCTCAGGATCAACTCTGTCCAGTATCTAGATTAATCGAACCACCTCATCAGTCTAAGTGATACTAAAGGGCTCTGGCAGGCCTTGCCCTTCTCCCCTCTTACCTCTGCCTTGCTAAGAACCCTTACCCTTAGATTACATTCCTAAAGCTAACTCCCAAGGTCCACTCCCTTATTTGAACATTTCCTCCTCCTAAGGCTGAGTATCAAGATTCGGCTACCCAAGTATTGAAGTCCAGCAATCAAAGCCCAATTAAAATCAAATACCTCATCCTAACATGGAATTTCCCTTGTACCTTTATAAACTGTCATTTTCCTGTGGGCTCCATTTGTCTTCTCTATGTAGAGGCAGTCCCTTGTTCTCCAGGACAAATACTCCTAACTCTTTTCCCTGGCTCCCTTCACTTCTCCCCTTTCCTCTGTCTCCTCTATTTGTCCCTTATCCCTGTCTTCCGCTTCCTTTGTGCTGAGAACTTTGTGCTCAGGTCGTGGGCGTCCTGAGCTGATACTTAATCTTTCAATAATAATTTAAAGTATTATTAAACTATTGAAGATACTTATTGAAATATGTTTGTCCAAAAATACCCTGGGTCAATGTGGCCATTAGTAAAGATATCTGTTCTACATTATCTCAGTCTTCTTACATGGCCTCACACATTGCTGTACAAATATTTAACTTATACACACACATGCTTGATGGTATTTATCTCCCTTGAAGCAGAGAGGCGTGGCTGGGTGAAGCCAGATGGACTGAAATCTTGGTTTTGCCCCGTCTCACTTGCTAGCTGTCAGACCACTTGAGAAAGACCAAGAGGATAATGATGCCAAGATGCAGGGTAACTGTGATGGTCATAGTGACAGAAAAACAGAGAAAGAGCATCCTGAGTAGAGTCCCGAGTGACCACTGCCAAAACACAGCAGCCACAGCCTTCTCCAGACGAGAGCAACACATAGGCGACTCTCAGCACAAGTTTGGTTAGTAAGCATTAAACAATACACAGCACAAACTGGTGGTTTACACACTTAATGAGGAGGACAGAAAGCTACTATGTTGTAGATCTTATCTAAAAATCATTGTATTTGATTTACTTTAAAAAAAAAAATCAAAGAGCATCTCCGAAGCAGAATAAAGTGTTTAGTTTAAAAAGACTTTCTTCTCTGTAAGATAAATTCCATATTTAACTCCCTAGTGAAGTAGTCACCCAAGATCTAAAAAGTCATTCTTTACTACCCATTTCTAAACCTCTGGTCAAACAACTCAAGTCACAGTAGATAACACAATTTCTTTCTTTTCTTTTCTTTTTTTCTTCCAGACAGTATTTCTCTGTATTGCTTTGGAGTCTGTCCTGCAACTCGCTCTGGAGACCAGGGTGGCCTCAAACTCATAGAGATCTACCTACCTCTGCCTTCTGAGTGCTGGAATTAAAAGCATGTACCACCAACGCCTGGCTGATAACACAATTTCAATGACTGACATAACACACACAGATACATACACATGGACATACACAAAAACACTCAAAGCAATAACTTATGCTCATCATAGTGGCTGGATTTGATTCAATACAAGGAATGATATAAAATATTCATTATTTGTAGTCTAATGGAAACTAATACTATCTGTTCAAATTTAATTGAAGAATATTCTACTCCTAGAAATAGATACATAACTACACACAAGCATAAAAGTAAATATTGTGCTTATTTTCAGAGCTGAATTTGTACACTAAAAATAGCACTTCTTCCTGAGCATCAATACCAACATGCAATTCATATGAAAAGAAAAAAGCAAGAAACATGTGCTGATTATTTATCTAATTTGGTATCTGTATAGATAATGTAATATTTCAAAAGGGTATCATTGACAATTGTATAATACATAAACATAGGATATTGGTGAAACCAACACCAAAATCAAGATAATGAACACCATTTAACTATAAAGGATTCCCTGACATGCCACTCACCAGACTGCTGCAAGTCCAAAACTTACCTGTTTTCTCCTATTCTAATCATTATCTTCTAGAAATTTATATAAAAAGAACATACAGTATATAGTCCATTTACTGTGGCATATCTTTTACTATGTAGTTATTTTTCATTCAGCTATATTGCTAGGATATAAATGATTTTTCCCTGGAGGACTATATTGATTATATCATGGTTTGCTGTGCTGCTAACTCAGTGATTCTCAAACTGTGGGTCACAACCCCCAGGGGATCGCATCTCAGATATCCTGTATACCAGAGATTTACATTACAATTCATAACAGCAGGAAAATTATAGTGATGAAGTAGTAAGAAAATAATTTTATGGCTGGAGGTCAACACACCATGAGGAACTGTATTAAAGGGTGGGAGCATTAGGAAGGTTGAGAACAGCTGCTCTAACTGAATGACATCTGAGTGGTTTCCTTTTTTTTTTTTTTTGCTACCACAACAACTGAATTTGGAATAAACTATCAATGATAGGTAAGACATTGTATAGACATGTTTCCTTTTGTTTTGAGAAATTTCCAGAAGTGGTATGGCTATATGTATTCATCCTGGGGTGGATACCAAAGTATTTTTGTGAAATTGTCTATCACTTCACATTTTCTCATCTGCATACAAGAGTTTCCATAATCTGTTATGGTCAGTACTCTAACCCTGCATTTCCCAACAGACAGTGACATATTCCCACATGCTTATTGGCCATTACTTTATACCCTTTGGTGAGGTAAAGAATCTGACTTTCTTATAAATTGTTGGCTGCCTACTCAGTAGTGTTCTGAGAGTTCTCTTACACGCTAGATAAAAATCCTTGACCTTGATGACATTTATGATCCTAATATATTCTCATCTAGCCCTTGATTCATTTCCTTTTCAGTGCCATTAGTGATTACTTTTATGTAAAATTTTCAATTATTAATTTATAATTTTCATTTATTTGTTCTTTTGTAAAGCATGCTATTACCATAATAATAAAATGACTTTTGATGATCCAAAGTCACAAATATTTTTCTGTAGAGTTTATATACAGCTTAGATTGTATAATTGATTTAAAATTTTGCATACAGTATGAAGAATGTGTTTAAGCTTGTTTTACTGAATAATAGATACCCAGTTAATCCAATATTACATGCTGAATGGTTTAAACTACCTCGATTTCCCTATAAAAATCAACTAAGAACATAGGTATATATTTTGATTTTGTTACACTGACAAATCTGTCTTCCTTGATGCTAATACCCTGTAGTTCTGACTATTGTTGCTTTAGCAGGCTAGGAACTCTGTTCCTTTTCAACTTTGTTTCATTATTTCAGGCTTTAGCATTTTTACAAGAATTTTGAGTTAGTTTTACTGATATAGAAAAGAAGGCGTTTGCAGGACTCAATGTGGCAAGAACCTAAGTCTTAGCAATGGTACCCATGACATTTCACTCATTTAGGTCTCATTTAATTACAATAATCTATAATCCTAGCCTACCGATGGGATGATTTTTGAATATCTTCTTGAGACTTCCGAGTATGATGTCATATTTAAAAATAAGTGACATGTAGCCTATGAAGAATGGACTCATTTTTTCTGTTTGTGCATATATGCCAATCAAATAATAACACAATCCATGGCAAAAGCATAACAAGTTATTGTTTTCCACATAATTAACCTAAACTATGAAAACAGCTATATTTGGTCATTGAGATATTTACAGCTGTATGCCAGTTATCTCCTCACCCTATTAGTCTATGCACTTGTAGACTGTTTTCACACATGGCTGTTTTCTTCACTGTAATGGCCTTGGGAGACATCTTTAGGTTACCCAATTTGCATGGCTATTGCGGGCACACTGAAGTAATAACAAGTGGCACCACAGACCCTACTAGGTTAGTGTACAAATTAAAGTTCTAAAGAATTCTAAGTTAATTTTCTTGGTTTGTAAGCTTAACATAGCTTTAAACATGTGATTCATATAGGATCTATCATTTAAGTCTTTCACGAAATTTCTGGTGATACTTTACTTAAAATCTACATATTTATAAAATGCCAAGTCCAATAATTTAATTACAAGTTTACAATCAGCTACCATTCTATTTTGGCAAACTAGAGATTGTCATTTCATATTTGCCTCAACTGTACCAGATTAAATTTAGTAATATTAAGATGTTTTGAATTATGTACAAACTGGCAGGCAAATACATGATGCAACAAAATTTTGTGCAAAATATTATTCATAGAAATAGTAAGGAGAAGAGTCAGTCCAGACATATCTGAGATACTGATAGGGTACATGCCAACTTATATAACCTACACTATATTCAACTATGCACCATGATAGCTAATTTGGAACTCATATATTTTATTATGGTCATCCTAATATATAATTTCTGAATTTTTAAAGAATGATGCCAGGTGTGCTGGCATACACCTTTAATCCCAGCACCAGCGAGGCAGAGGCAGGTGGATCTCTGTGAGTTCCAGGTCTGGTCTACAGAGTAAGTTCAGGACAGCCAGGGCTACCTAGAGAAACCCTGTCTCAAATACATGCACACACAGAGAAAAAGGAAATGAGCAATTTCTTTAGGGAAAATACAATACAGAAAAAAACATACCTTCATGTTTATCAATATTACTACATTGCAAAAAGGTTAATCCAAACCCTCAGACTATGAAATCTTAAAAGTTTGAAACAAGAATTTCAATTTATTAAATATCTGATAATTGTTTTAAACTAGAAATCATTCTAAATGAGATGTGTTTGCCTGCTGTGTTAGAGTTTTTCCTAATTTTGAAAAACTAAAATAGAATTAATTACATCATCTCTCCCCTCTTTCCTCCTGCCAACCTCCCTCATTCCCTCACCAAGCCTCAGAAATGCATGATCTCTTTTTCTTTAATAATTAATTATTGCTATAAATAGACAGACAGACAGACAGACAGACAGACAGACATATTCAGAGGCGGGGGGAGAAACACAACCTGCCATGTCCAAGTTGCCTGTATTTGCAGAACTCCAAGGCTGACCACTTAATAGTAAATACTCAACTGGGGAGCTCACCGTGGGGAAGACCGATATTCTCTGTCTCTCAGCAGTGTCTAGTTGGTTTAGTTCTTTGTCTAGGGGTGGGGCTTTGTGAGAATTCCCACTTTCCTGCAGGGATCTCATTAGAGTACTGATGGGAATACTACTTCTGACTTGTCTATCACTCTTGAAGCCACAGATAACCTGAGTTAATACAGTAATTATTCAATGACATTGTGTATAAGTCAACAGGGACTTTAGGAACATACCAGTTTAAACCCCAGAACATACTGCAGTCCCAGCTACTTGGGTGATAGAGTCAAAAGGCATCACTAGAGCCCATAAACTCAAGACTAGTCTATGCAATAGTATTGAAAACCAAAGGACAGAACAAGGGGAATTCCTGTTGCTCTTGTAACCACACTTATCACCTTTCCCGTGCATGACAGAACCTACCCTACCCAATCGGGCTGTTGTTCTCATTTCGTAAACACTTTCCTTTGCAAGCATTAATCTTGCCCAAAACACCCCATAAGAAACCCCTCACCTCTTAGGCTTTACTGATAGGAAATGAGGATAAACAGAGACTCCAGGACAGCTTGTTGCCATAGTGCCTGTCTTTGTGTATGTCAACCATCTGTCAGACTGGCCAAGCACATTTCCTGGAAATCACACTTCCCATTCCTTAGTGTGGACTGGTGGTTATTAAGCTGGCCAGGTCTCTCCAACTGCATGTGAGGATTGGTGCCTGCGCCCTTGAATCAAGGGTCTTTGACAGGTGAAAAAGTAAATCTCAGAAGGGAAGATGTCTCGTGTCAGCCCCCTAGACAGCCTGCATTTCAGTCAGGAATTATTTACGCCATGTGGACCACTTTGGATACCTATCCCTTTCTGAACCACTTGTAATTTGCCTGGACACTGTGGTAAAAAGGTAAACCATGTCAAAGACAGATACATCAAAGAACTATAGATTTCAAATGTACCATCAAGTCTAGCCTTGGGGAAAAAGGTGTGCATTGCTTAAACATTTCAAGTCCAACATAAAAGCTAAGTTCCTAGACTGAGCTGGACTGAGCTGTTTGTGGAGGCCAAGTCTTTTAAGAACTGACTTTGGTATTAAAGAATCATGTTTGATTTGTGCCACAGAGGCAGATAAATGCCAGAAAGACAGATACCTCTGTCTCTGAGACATTGTCCTATATGGTATAAAGTTAATAGCAAAGTAATAAGGAGCCTCTGGACCTGACATAAAATATAAAGTTGTGCTGGCTCGATGCAGGTTTCCTGATCGATCCATCACCTGGAACGTCTGTGATCGCAGCATTACTGCCTCCACTGCAGGGCAAGGTGGAATACTACCACTGGAGGGGTGGTGCAAGGGGGTCTGTATCCCCTGGAGCCAAATGGGAAGGAATAGGAAGGCAAAAATGCCATGTAAATCTTAAAACTTTGAGCTATCAATAAGCTGAAAACAGATAAAACACCCTATGACTGCATGGTTTCTCTCCATTTGCCATTCAAAACAACCACCCACACAGCCTACCTTATAATGAATCCTTACATAGGGATTACATAAATAATGTACATGTGGCTTATGTTTTCTGAAGTTATGCTTTCAACATGCTAACAATCAGAAATTTACCTTCATTTTAATGGTTCTTATCCCTATGGAAATTTCATCACAATAAACTGAAGATCTAAAAGCAATGAATAGGATTCATCTTCGTTGATCCTGAAAGTACCGTATTGAGGAGTGAAGCTGCCTAAATCTATGTAACATGGCATTTCAAGAATTCCAATGTTCTGTAAGAAATTTCATTCATGTAATACACGAAGTAGGACCATATATACTCTCCACTATTTCTGACAGCCAGTTATTCATGCGTGCACGGTATGAGCGCATCCATTGCCGCATGAATGGAATCCCACCAGGAGCCACACCCTCACAATGGTTCTCTCCTTAGTAAGGGGTGGACCTCTGGGTTTCATACCACATGGACTGTGACTATCAAACTCAACTGTCCTCATGGTCCACAAAGGAAAGTATCACATTTAGTGACCAGTTTAGTTACCATACAAACTTCATTAGTAAAGTCTTGATAGCAGAAACATTGGGGTCTACTGATATCACAAAAGAAAACTGCCCCGAGACAGTAGACACACATTGCTTAGAATTATCAGAATGACTATCTGTGAGACCAGTTTCTTTTCCTGAATCATGGAGAATGAATACCATGGGGCAGGCTATCAGCCATGTCCATATTTATCTCTCATGTTACAACTTTGTTGTTATTCCTTTTTGAATATTTATTTTTATTTAAATCAGAAGCAAGTCTGCTTCACATGTCAATCCCAGCTCCTCATCCTCCTATCCTTCCCCGCCCCCTACCCAGCAAGAATAAGTGTAATGGCACAGATTCCCCATCACATGGACTCACACTGAATGATACAACAGGAAGCAGGCAGAGAGACAGAAGGGGTATAAGCAAGGAGCTAATGGGTAGGGTGGTATGCCACAGGGAGAGAACAGTGAGGGCCCAACATGGGCTCCCCAGGGCACGGGCAGGAGGCTAGGACAGAGCTTTGCAGACAGATATCAAACAGCTTCAAATATCTAGTCTTGGGTCCCTTGATTTTTTTAACCACTTAAAATGAAGTTCAGGAGGATATCTGGAGCCTGAAATATAGATGACTACTTTTTAAGCATATGACAAGAGCCTAACTTCTAGACACTCCATATTTGTGAGGTATTCGAGGTCTACAGAAATTTTCATTTGCAAAAACCTAGAATAAAGAGAGTAAACCATGAGGCCAATGGTGCTTAGGTATCTAACAACTTGCCTCATGGCTGCAGAGAGAAGCCAGGAGCAGACTTACTACTGACCTGTGTGCTGCCGGCGGTGTTTGGTGAGGGCGTGCCGGGTCCCACCAGCAAAGCCGCAGAGGTCACAGAGAAACGACTTCTCGCCTGTTGCAACAATAAACAGATGAGGGACTGCAGAGGTCACAGATCATTAAAACATATCTATCAAGGCTTTCAGGGTTACTAATTCCTCCAATCAAATGTTTCCATGTAAATATGTCAAATGGGAATGAAATTACCACTGCGGTTTATTGACTGTGATAAAATCTGAAAAGCACCACTGAACATAATTACATACTTGTCAGACCCATAAAAATTAGCTTTATTATCAATGGAATGGTTTTGTACAACTTCATTTCTGGTAGATGTCTTCCAGATGGGGCTGCTTTATGCACTTGAACAGTTTTTATGCATATTCTGATTTTTTACAATTCCCATACATCTGGCCTTTCTGAGCTGAGTAAAGATTGCTTGGAATAGTTAATATACAATGTATATAACTCTGCTTAAATAAAATATATTGAATTCTTTAACAACCTAAGAACACTGAATTGGTTTTACATGATTCTATCAGGATCTTCTTTAATCACCTTACACTTAATAATTTGAACTAAATAGTTTCTTTGAACAGACTGAGAATCCAAAGGAAATGAAACTCACATTACTTAGTACAGGGAGATACTCGATGCTATTTGTGTTTCTCAGATGTTATGTCAAAAAAAAAAAAAAAGGTTATATTTTTCATCTTACTGAATGAAAGTTTTTTTTTTTTTTTTTAAAATTTTTTTTAAAAAAAAAAAAAAAAAAAAAAAAGGAAGTCCAGGGATGGCTAAGAAACATCTGTAAAAATTCATGTCCCTCATCCTCAGTGATAGCTCTGGATTGGACACTTCTGTAGAATCAAAGGCAGGTTTGGTAGATGAAGGCTTGCTGTGTGTGCAAATGCTTATTTTCTTAGCATTTTACACATGCTAACTTCTTGGCCTTTAGTATATCAGCAGTATGTATCATACTACTGTAGTATATTTAGCCAGCAAGTGCTGGCTAGCTAGACAATTCCTCCCATAAGAGTTACAATGAAAGACAAAACAATAAAAATGAAGCCTGTGGAGAAATTAATGAAATTAAAAAAGACTTTTCCAGAAAAAAAGCAAGTTATTTTATATCCATCCTTACTGACTTTAGTCACTCAGACTTTAAAGTGACAAGTTCCCCATAAAATGCCTGCTTTATCCCATGTTTGTGGTTTCACAACAAATTTAGTTGGCAATGCATTTGCAAACAGTAACTGTATTTCTAAGATTAAAATAACAATAACAAAGGAAAATAACTGTAGCAATCAAAAGAGCAGCACTTCGCTTAAGAGTGTTTTCAAGTTTTCTTAACTTAAAGGAAAACATGAATACCCTTAGCCAAAATATGTCCAATCTTATTTCCAAAGGAATGCTAAGATGGTCATTATCATTCAAAAGACAAAGTTAAAATAAAATGTTCTTCCTATCCTTGCTATCCTACTTTGGTGGGGGGGGTCACACTTAATTTCATGATGTCATTATTTCCATATAGGAAAAATAGAGTAGATGGGCTGTGAAGAATAGTTTAATTATAATCACTCATCTAATTATTTAATCAATTTAAAATAATAAATCTTTTTAACTAGCTGTATTATCAATTAAATAACACTGAATTGGCCTATTTTAAATAAAAAACTAATTTGTTTATAAACATTAGCATTTTTTTAAATGTTGAGGCTAAACTATTCTCAGCAATTTCTTCATCACCAGTTTTGCAGACAGTTTTGTGTGTGCTGTCAAAAAGCAGCTGTACTTACACATGCACAGGGCATAAGGACTACAGTGCAGAAATGTGTTTGTGCCCTGTGTACACATGCACATGCATGCTATAAAGGCAAGTAGACATGGCCAACAAGAGTGAACATCCACATTCTAGACAAGCATGCTACCATCCTTCCATTTATGAAATCTTTGTGACCTATTTCTTTCTTGCAAAATAAATGTGTTAATAAGCATAGGAGAAAAATAACGGAATTTAACTATCTCTACATCTGTTCATGCTGCACACATTAAGGTCTACTCTCTTTCCCATTTTATGGTATACACACATGGAAAGGCAAAATTATTCATTTTCCACGTGATTTGACTCTAGATACACTAGTGACCTTGATTTTTCCATGTGTAGGATTTTTATCTAAGGTGGTAGTCTCAGATATATTGTATGTCATATTTACCTTGGTTTTTGTTTTCAAATTTGATTTTTTCTTGCTTTTTTTTTTTTTTTTTTTTTTTTTTTTTTTCTATTTTTCTTTTTTGATTTAATTTACAACAGTATTTTTTTGAGAAAAGAAATTAAGGAAAAACTCAATAAGATGTTTTACTCAACCAAGAATGGGTTCTTTTAACGTGTCATATTTAAATGATAACAGAGATTTAATGGAAGACTTCTTTTAATAACCCTTGAATTAGTTTCAAGTGTGCCATTTTGCATTCAAACATAGAAAGACACGGAACCGATCCTTTATTTTCTATTAGGAAACAGTCACTGTCCCCTACCTCTCATTATGGTGCAGACTACAAGACCGAACAACAAAAATCCATATTATTGATCCAGCCAAGTCTCCACAATTATTCTTTAGAAGGAAACGCCGACGATAAATTACATCTGCACTGGCTTTTCATCTGCTGTTCGATATAAGTGATCTCTCAGGGCAGGCTGGAGACCTTAAATCGTCAACACCCTTGTCAAGGAAGCTAAGGAGGCCTGGGCTTACCACAAACTGCTTCAGGAGAACTTTCAACCTATAATTTCTAACAATAATACAGGATTCATAACAATCAGAACATTTCTGAATGATGATTAAAATTTATTATTTTTTCCTACAGGGAATAAAATCTGAGTAGTGTAAAGAGAAAGAAGGCCACAAAAATACTAAATAGTTGATAGTACGAAATATGAGGTGAATACCCAAATAGAAGATCACCATGAAGTATTGGGCCCATTGTACTAAAACTATGAGAAGCATGTCATAAACAAAGCACCTGGTGTAGGGTATGATGGAATATGCATTGATAAAGGCTCCAACTGAGCAGCCTCAGAAGCATACTTCACAGACAGAATCTCAAGACGGCCGAGTTACATTACACATGGTTATTTTTAATGTGTTAATACAAACTTTATGTGACTGTGAGCTTTTTAGAAGCAGTTTTCTGAAGACATCTAGTAATTCAATGGAGATTAGCCTCTGCATTCTAAGAACTTTAGGGTCTGACATGATTCTTTCCTAAAGAGAGAGATTACATTACTTAGATTTAGGAAATGGTACATAAAACTAAGAATCAGCATGTTTAAAAATTAGGAATTTAGACAACAAGGAAATAGAAGACCAGTTCTCTTTAAAGACATAAAATGCAGTGTAATGAGGGTCACATCTAAAAAGCTAAGTTTCAACACAAACACTAGAAAGGAGCTGTCAAATCTGAACCTGTCCTGCTTAAAAACATGCATAACTCATACTAAATTGTCACACTGCAAAGCAAGGAATGAAAAATATTTTCATATGCAATTACCATTACCTTAATTTCAAATACTACTACCATGACCTCTGCAAGGAAGTCATGTTTACCATGGTGGCTATCAAGAAAACCAATGTACATGTTCCCAAAGCCCATCAGGCCTCCCTTGGCCAGCCCCTGATATAGAAGGGGTATGACACACCTGTGTGCGTCCTGTAGTGGTCTTTCATCGCAGAGGCCGTGAGGAATGAGTAGTGACATGTGGGCCAGGTACACTTAAACGGCTTTTCTCCCGTGTGGAGTTTCATGTGGTTGTTCAAGGCCCACTTCTCTGTGAAACTTCTGTCACATAAGTGGCATGTAAATTTCCTGTGCGAAGGAGAGAGCAAAACAATGTAAATTTGACCTGCAAGCTGACATCTATGACTCCAGATAGAGTGTGTGGTAACCCTGAAGTGTGGTGCACACACAGCCTCTGCAGAGGGAACTGCAGACTGGGTCTGTCATGTCTGTATAACCAGGCATTGATTTTTCTGTCGAGGCCTGGCACTTCAGCCATTTATTCTCTGCTTTGCGGTTGGGCCCAACGGGTTTGAAAAATTCTGTTACAGTCCAGTCACCCCTGAGGCAAAAGTGAGAATAGATTTCACCTGTACAGGCCTACACCACTTATCCAGGGCATGGGCTGTCAGAGCAAAGGCTAAATGAAATGCTATCCATACTCAAGTGCTCAGACAAGCTCTGCTGTCTGCCAGGAGGCGGCTGTGCTTGAGAACAGCCACCCCTGAGAGCAGCCCCACAGCCCTGAGTTACCATGCTCCTTGGGGATGAAAGGGTGGACCCCCAGTGGTTCCTGATTGATAGGTCCCTCTGGGTTGTTGACATGGGTACATCAAAAAGTTTTCTTTAACAAAAATAAGTCTCTAGCTGTACCACCCCAAACATGCCCCGTCTCCACTGATTTCAGAAGTGAAGCAGGGTCAGGCCTGCATAGAACTTTGACAGTAGACAAAAATTAAACATTATAGCCATATACTTTTCTAAAACCGGACTGAGCAAGAGAAGATACAATTACCTCCTGTACAAAAGCAAATCTAAAAAATAACAAGTTTATATTTCTTTAAGAAAATATTTCAAGTTTATACTCAAGGTTAATCTTCCAGTACCCTGAGACATGAGTGGATCTCCTCCTCTGCACCCCTTCCACTTGCAGTTACGAATTCCTCACTAAAATTTACTTCCTATTTCTGGTGCAATTGAGTGTTAAGCAATCTCTTTGAACAATAGTGTTCAACAAATTAATTCAGGATAATGAACAATCAAATAAGAGAACATTTTTCTTAAAAGTTACAATTAAAATTATACACGTTTAGAAAGCTGGCAAGCATTATCCCAGAAAACAGAGACCAAGGCAGCCTCGAGAAAAACCAAAGACTACATTATCAATATGGGGCTATAGAACATGTACACTTTCACATAAAGTCATTAGACAGTCTCTTCACCAATTCCTAAAGTTTTGTCAGGAGAGGAAAAGAGTCCTTAGCTATAAACGACCAACCTTCTAATTTGGTGTTAAATGCAGATTACTTTAACAAATCAATGGGATTACTTTCACATAAAGTCATTAGACAGTCTCTTCAGCAATTCCTAAAGTTTTGTCAGGAGAGGAAAAGAGTCCTTAGCTATAAACACCTTCTAATTTGGTGTTAAATGCAGATTACTTTAACAAATCAATGGGATTCCACAAACTCTGGGAATCAGTTATAAATCACCAGCTTCCTTTAGTACATATATTTAAAAGTAATGTTTTAAATACAAAATAAGTAAAAAAAAAAACCAAAACAAAAACAAAAACAAATACTTAAGTAATGGCATAGCAAATCTGAAGTGCTTCATTATTAGCAAGCTTCCAGTTTACTTCTCCCTATAACACATGTGAGGAGACACTGTCTGCACAATGAACACAGCCTGACTCTGAAATCACTGTATCATTTGATCATTGCTGACTCGTACTGGAGAATGACATATAAAACTAAACACCTTGAAATGCACTGCAAAAAATATCATGTCCGTATATCTCTTTGACGGGTCTTCACGTATTTAGCATTTCAAAACCATGACAGGAATCTTATTTCCAAGATAAATTCCCCTATCTACTTATTTCTCCATGTATTTAATATATCTCTTTGACGGGTCTTCACGCATTTAGCATTTCAAAACCATGACAGGGATCTTATTTCCAAGATAAATTCCCCTATCTACTTATTTCTCCATGTATTTATTGTGGAACTAACCTTCTCTTACAAGAAATAAATAAGGAGGTTAAATAGATGCTATCTTTAACAAATAGTTTCTCCAGACTGTATTACAACTTTATGAATGACAAAATAAATCCCTCAGTTTTAAATCTACCATGATGTGCATTTAACAAAATTACATCTACACAACCTCAATGTGCACTGTCTATTATTCATACATAATAAAAATGTTAGACTAAAGCTCAGTGCCTGTCCAGAAAGGACAAAAGCCAGATTAAAAAAAAAAAAAAAAGGAACTGAAACTAGCACTGGACTTTCCAGGAACTGCATTCTACAATCCTCTTTATGGAAACAAGAAAGCTCAGTCACTGGGCAAATGAGAGAATGTAAACATGGCCAGCATAGGCCACACTTACTACACTTATAAATCCAAGGCCTGTTTGAAAGTATGCTGTCTCCTGAAATGACATGAATGCTGTATCAAATTTTCCAGGATCACTTGCTTTAAGCAGCCTAATGTCAGAGAAGACTGTGGCCCCTAAAGGACCCTTGCTCTCTGTGGACCTTCAGGAGGCCTCGTGAAGCACATCCAGGAAGCAGAAAACTGCTCTGCCATGCAAACCAGAAACTGAAGGCCAGCAGGGTATGTTCATGAACCCTCTAAGAAAGACCTGCCATCTTGCTACTCTATGAACACTGCTATGGAGAGTACAGGGAAATCAGAAAAAGATGATTTGGGTGTCAAGAAAATCTGATGGTAAGAGAGAAATACCATTCATAAAAGTAAACTCCATACCAGAAATGTGTAAAAAGTCATTAGGGATAAAAAGAAGAACAAGCAAGGACAGGACAGACTGGAGGTGACATATCACTCAGACACTGAAAGACAGGTGACAACTACAAACAGAGATACCTGTGGGAGAATGCTAGCAACAAGAAGCGCAAAACACCCCTGAACTGGGAAAAGGTGTGACAGATCCCTGAAGGCACACACACATACAACACACACACACAATCACTGTCCTCCAGATCCCTTTCCATATCAGAGTGGGCAAAAAAAGCCCAGTGACTTAGAGAGGGCAGACTGAGGCCCAGATGCTTGGCTGTGCAGGCTTACAGGAGAGATATTTTGTAATGTAATCTAAAAAGAGACTCAGCTTGCAAAAACTCACTGTGAAGATTAGCAGTAAGTAGAAAGATGCTAAAGGTGAGTAACTGGTTTTCACAAACACGCTACAACCAGGAATGGAGCATCACATGAGCAAGGGAGACAAAGGGATTGCATCTGCGTCACCCTCTCACAGTTGAAAGACAATACAGGAGAGACATGGAATTTTGAGGGAAGTGATTTCAAACACTGGAAATTCATTTCCTTTAGCAATCCCTGTGAAGACATACACCTGTCTTAAGTTCTTAGGTGAAAAATCCATGATGCTAAAACTACCTGCAATGAAGCCCTTGCCCTAGTCAACTTGCAACAGTGAACTAAAGGGCTCATCTGTACAAACTTACAAGGATTCCAAAATGCAAGAGGTGTTCCTAAACATTTTCTGGTGTTCTGGCACAGCTAGAGGCCTGTCCACTACTCACCACTCACTGTGTGTGTTATTCTCTTAGGTGCCCTGCTGAAATGGAAGGAGGCTCCGGTCCTACTGGTTACACCAAGGGAGAACAGCAAAGAGAAGGGGTTGGCATGTACCCACAAATTGCTTCCAAGGAGTTCTTCCTGTGTGATTTGTGTTAACTGAGCCAAGAGTAAAGTCTAGGCTTCAACACTTAATCCCAAGAGGGAATACTAACTAGCCTCATTATCAGCTATAGAACAAAGACTAAAATTTCTCATCGGGCTGCATCTTGTACAAAATTAAAGAATTAATAATTAGCTAAAACGTGTTATATAACTAACCTTTACATGTGTTTTGACCTTACACAATTTTTGAGCATTTGCTTGGTTTTAAATGGCTAAATAGGAGAAATGTTATATCAAAAACCAAACTTAACTTTGAATTGCTTCTATAACTTTCCAAATACTAGAGTCAGAATTCTGAAAGGAAAATTTAGATTCATCTTCTTTAGATTAAAACTTTAAATATTATTAAAAATTTAAATTCTAAGCAAGTAGATTTTAGTTCTTAGAATCTCAATAAAAATGTACACACATCACATTTTTGAATGAAGATAAAGGTGTCCTGAAAAGTTGGCTTTATTATCTGGCATTACAAAAACAGGTAAGAGGATGGGCGGTGGTGGCACACACCTTTAATCCCAGCACTCAGGAGACAGAGGCAGGTGGTTCTCTAGTTTGAGGCCAGCATGGTCTACAGAGTGAGTTCCAGGACAGTCAGGGCTACACAGAAAAACCCTATCTTGAAAATTCAAAAATAAAACAGATAAGAGGACCACTGTTACTTTTTTCTGGTCTTATGGATCTGTTCTGTTCACGATAATCTTGCAAATACTGAGTTTGTTCTAACCCTAATTTTATATGAGAGAATCTAGTCAGACATACCATTGAGACATACATAAAGTTATATAAAATAAATTCCTCTATTGAAGTTTCAACAGACATTAGGGAAGGGTTCAGTTTAATCATAAAATAGACTTTCATTATGCAATGAAAATGAATAAGCTATGACAATACTTATCAACATAGGTTTAAAAACCTCAATGGTATACCTGTTAAAAACAAGTTAGAGGGGCTGGAAGAATGGCTCAGTGACTAAGAGTATTTGTCTCTATTGCAGAGAACCTGGGTTCAGTTTCCAAGACCAACATGGTGGGTCACAAAAATCTGTAACTGCAGCTCCAGGAAATCAGATGACTTCGTCTGACCTTTGCAAGCACCTGGATCACACATATGTTCACATATGTGGCAAAAAACACTCATACATATAAAATAAATTATTTTTCAAAAATAAAAACAAATAACTTTAAAAGTTGCACCATTTGCATAAAATTTTACAAATGAACCTCACATGCAGAAATGTGTCTGACACTCTGAAGTTGACACAGTTTCTTCTTGGCTTGGAGAAAAGGAAGAGGATGGTGGTGGAGCACAAGTGCACATCTAACTTTTGCTGTTTATCAGAACAAAAGAATCTGAAGTAAACA